GTCGCTACTTCACAGTGGAACCCAGTCAACTACCACCTGAATATGGCCAGTCACTAGCGACCATCAGATTTATATTCGAGTGTGCTGAGTGATACCAAACAAGGAGGAAACAAATGTCCAATACTCAAAGGCTTTCCAATGTTTCTCTGACCAGAGTCAACTAATGATGGAATGCTGAAACCAAACTAATCTCTGCAAATCAACAACTGGCGTGGAATCATGATTATATCCACTCAAATGTAATCGCCAAGCCACACCATCCAGAGAAGGCTGGAGCATATACCAGAGGGTAGACATTACGAGGAGCAGGCTTCACACAGAAAGAAGTCATGCACGGTCCAGATTACGACACAACGAATCATCAAGCAGAGTGGAAATTACCACACTCAGCCCTATGCCTCAGATTCCCCGTCGTTGGAAATGCCGTTCACATGGTTCTCATGCTGTCATACTCTGGGGAGATCTTCAAATTGTCATTCGAGTATGCGTCACGTCTATGTCTGTGACATTTTGTGAATAATTCAGTGCAGGGAGACAATATCCAAGTTTCATATACTGCACATAATATTATTTCCAGGCTCGTAGGAATACAGATTTTGCTTGATGTGCTGTGACACAACATACTTTTCTCCAGTTCCTCCTGAACCACGGATATTATTCAATTGGAAATGCAACTGGCGAAATCGCTTCCAATAGAAAATTGCAGAGGGAACATGAGTAATGTCATGAATAGTCGTCAAGTAACCAACGCATCACACACGATACGTGTTTAGTAATTGTCTTCAATATTGGTTGCTTTTATTCACATTTCTCTACGTACATCCACTTCCACTCATGATAGACGAAATTCACTGATGTGGGGAATTGCGAGAGTTTCAAATATTAGACTAGTGAAATATCCTGAAGGCAAGGAAGTAACTTCAAGATTGTGATTACCTCCAGTGTGAAATTTATTCCTAACATCAACAAATTTGGAAAACTGTTCTCCACTCAACTTGGTGTCCACCACCGAAACACAACACCCATGTGTGATTAAATGTTCATGCTAGAAAGCGGAACCTAGAATTCTCATTCAACGAATCACATCAGTTCATTCCTAAAAGTGATAGAATGAATGAGACAGGCGTGTGTCATCAGAAAACAGTGTGCTAGCTGAATATTGATTAAAGAATAGCGTGCACACGTATGATAAGAATTTGTGTTACTGATGCACAACACATACAGAATGCTTAGTACAAGTGTGTTAGTTGAATAGCGCTTAGTAAAGATTATGAACAGTGTACAAATGAGGTGATTTTGGCAACGCGTAATTGTTTACAGAATGATGAAATATTTGTGTTGGTTGAGGTCAACATCACACGTATTATGTCTTATGTATAATTCTTACTATTTCTCATAATTTTATTTCTGAAATAATCTAATTATAACAATGATGAAATTAACAGCTCTATCGCAAACATCAATTCTGGTAGAATTATCCAATATTCAGCATGATCAGCTCAGGGGACCAACAGAAGCGATAGGACATCTGACGTTGTGTAAAATTCATGAGATCAGTGGAAATCAGGGGTGAATAGATTCGATCAAAACTGAATTACCTTGTATGCTTTCCAAATGTGTTATGCACAAACATATTTCAGAATTTGCTGAGAAATAAATATCTTCAATGTACACATTATTCCTTCGGGCATGTTCACTAGAAGGCAAATGAAACTGGTCTATATGAAGTTATTTGATGGATGTCAATAATGTGAAAGTGAAGTCAATACGAACTGAATGTGCTACTGGGATAATTTATGAGGTTGAAGGTGTTTGTCAATTGCGAATATTGTAAGCAACACCTGACCAATATGATGCTGTGTATGTTCGAGGTGCGAATTCAAACTTGATAATTAGACCATTGACTTTGGAGTCCATGTGGATATTGTGTTTCTTGATAGTCATTGAAGAACTTCTTTTTACATTTCATATAAAAGCGTTTCATTGTGTCTACTGAAATGCAGGATTCCCTGGATATACCTCATATCACAATGGTTCACTTCCCATACCCTTGCCATTTCACTTTCTACACGCAGTACACAGTGCACTTTAGCTTCTCGAAATTTTGTTCCTCTTAGATTGATTAATTGTATGTATGCTGAAGTCTTCATGAAATCCATTTCTACTAGTGCACAGCGAGTAGTTATCACCTGGAGAATTCCATATTCATTTTGTCCCTGTATTCATCCACCTTCCTATTTATCTCAGTGATGAATTTGTGTTGAAAGACCGTACAACTTATTTTGACTTGCTGTATCAATGTACTGAGGTCTAATATTGATTAAGGAGAGGTCTTCCTGCTTCAGTTCGAATGGCTGATGAGTAGTGATTTTCACTTATTGAATGTCGTTTCATACTCTACACAGACGTCATGGAGTAAATGTTTGAAACGCAGTGAAGAATAAATTGGCTACTGAATGAGAAGCAAAAGTGTTCATTGTTCACATGACTAGTATGGCAGAGACGAGAACAAAGACTGAATGGCAAAGTATGTGTCGACATAAATTTTCAAACTGGTTGATGTTCTGGATATCGTATGCCTGATGATGTCCTTAGTGTCCCACTTGATCATTAGAAACATTGTATAACATAGGAAGCGTAGTTTGGTTCTCAGTGATATGCTTGCCCATACTAAGAATTCTCTCACCAACATGTTTGAATAATGAAAGCAACCATGACTGATGTATCGTCGTATATGAGAAACCATCATACACATATTGGAAGTGTATGAATTCTGTCGTCAAACGGTATAAGTGCACAGACCACTTCAGAATGAGGCCTGGGAATCAGTTGAACACACACCTGACATTCACACACATTCGAACTATCTCACATGTTCGCCACAGGCCCCCCAGTAGTAACAATCACAGTCAGAGATAACGAATAGTGAATTCCCAGTTGAATAATCATCCATGTGGTCAGCGATATCAAATGGGATGTGTGAAATCACAGATCCCAAATCGTCTTGTGAAATAATTTGCACAGATTCACTGTGGAATCAAGTGAAATTACCATCACGACTCCGGTCAATTACATGGCCATAATTCCGTTGACTCAGGTCAACTCTGCATGTCGTGTCACTCTCTAAAATTGTTCAGTCAAGCTGATGAGTGTAAATACTGAGCGATTGGTGAATGAGTCAGGAAGCAGATATCAAGTGTCAAGGTGACTCACAGATATACTCAGATGAAGGTGTTAGTGAATACGAGTAACCAGTTATTCATATCACCATGTTGATTACACCTGACATGGTATTCACGGCAGAACTGATGTCACTGGAGACTACAGCATCTCGTATACACAAGCATACTTCACTTTCCATCGTCTGATGTTTCAGGCTTTCCATTTGAAATCCATCTGTGGAGAATCACACATGAGCTGACTTGAAGTGAGATACATTTCACATGGTATCAGACTGGTTGATGGTTTCATCAGTGAATCTGTTAAACATGGTGGAAATGTAATGAAGATGAAACACTGATTTCATTTATGCAAGATGTTTCCAATGCCAGGAATATCTGCCTACAACGTCATTTGGATGCTGAAATAGTATTCACTCATCACTCAGTAAGATTTGAAATATATCTCACTTGAAATACCTATGGGGAACTGCACGAATACAGGTTAGAAGTAACTATTTCCTCAAAATCAATTTCCACTTTTCCTCCACTTACTATTTGGAATCTCCCTCAAACGTGATGTGATTTGTCACATTCACGTTTATCAAACTTCACGTTTCAATTCGAAAGTGGTTGGTTTCTCATTCTCTTATATTCTCTACAGTCTATTCGACTTGTAACGAATGCACAAGTCTACAGTGTGACCGAGTAATTGCTCAGAAATTCTATCGTGAACAATCTAGTTGCAATAATTATAATTAGCCACCTGATGACAAATCTCACATTAACGCAAACACAGTGATGACAACCCATAGCAAAATCTCTCACAAATTCAAATAGTAACCACAATCGATCACACCCACCAGCGGTTTGATGAAGTTTGAATTCATGAAGAGAAAGCGGTGTAGCAGAAAAGTGATTTATTGAATTTATTTAATTCGAAATGAAATATTTAATAAAGTTTCTACAGTCTTCACGTGTTAAGTATTACGCTGACATTGAAATTCTTCCTGGTACTTGTCTTCAATAGCCTGTATGAGAATAAAACCAGTTAGCAATATTATTACATGAAATATTAGTGGTGAAATAATCAAGAAAGACTAGTGGTGGGAAGGAGGATGATTGTTGGTGAAGTGTGTGCTTATTCATACAATCCGAGAATTCTGAGTATTTTCAGTGATTGATTATTCCCATTTTAATCATTTGTCAGTGTATATGAATAGCTACATTTCAATAATTCACTATTTGGTCGTGCGAATTTCACTAGATTGCTTGCATTCCCTCAGTGACGCCTATGAAATGTGCATGTGTATTTTCATACATGCATGATACTAACAATTTATAACTATCACGATATTATTCATTGTGGCATATCCGCAGGGTAACTTGCAATACCACTCATGATGCCTTCACCAATCGATTAAACAGGCGTATTCGAAATTGCGATTTGAACCACACACTCTTAGTGGGAGAATAGTCGACGGTGAAAAATATTATCTAACTGTTGCGGTGAATTTCTGCATCCTGTGTTGTTCTTTGCCCACTCATCATCCTCCATACTGTCTCACATTTCTCGAGTTTCAAATTTGAGTCACCACAGCATTAACAGACTTTCATGTGATAAAATGTGGAAATATGATGCAAAATAAATCTCACCCCTCAATAGCTTCAATTGGGTTTCGTATAGATTCTTGTAAGCTAGAAGTTATAAAACAGGTTGCTAAATATTTGAGTTGACCAGTGAAAGTGACTGTTATCTATCACTGCGTTTGTCTGATAACTGACATTAGATAGGCACTGACTATTCTTGCAATCACCCTTACTACCTTTACACTGTTATCCTATAAATATGGTTGCGATTTTGATGTTTAATCATACAGAGAAAATGAACTCACTGCTATGAACACCATACCAGTGATTCAATGTAAATAGTTGGTTTATATATTCATCCAGTTGATCCAGATCTGAATTAAAAATGAACAAATATCTAGCAGAATGGATTTCTCAGAAAAAATTATGAAATTTGAAAACCACGGAATATACACATTGGGTCATGAAATTAAAGGACGCAAAATAGTCTATTTCACACAGAGATTCGAATAATTTAATACTCTATAAAATCATCATCACTTGCATGATGTTAACATTCAACAATGTCAAAACTGCTCATCATCATCATCAGTATGTTAGTAGTCACTCAGTTTCTCATTCACAAGATTGTCTTTCAGTGTGTGTTTCTACTCATATTCACACCACCTAAACCTTTTCATTGGTGGACGACTGACCACATCCTAAACACTAAACTTGTTCATCCTCCTTCCCACATTATTACCTGACTCTTGGAAAATACTCATCATAGATTATCATACAATAAGAGGTGGATGTTCATGAATTCAAATCATGACGAAGATATTGTGACATGTCGAAATATACCCTCATCGCGTAGGTGTATGTGAAAATGTTATTCATTTCATTATTAATTGAAAAATATGAACAAGCATATACCTTCTTGTTTCATTGCAGGTGGATTTTCGAAACATTTGTTTAAAGGGTACTCCTTCGTCTTTTCTATTTATCGGTGAGCAATAGTAGAAAAACAGTCTGATTATTTTTTACCTACATTTAAATCAAATCAGGTATGTGGAAACTGGCATTTCAAAAATCGTTACTCCACACATAATTAGTCATTCAGATGGATTAGCATAATAAAAGGCTACTTACTCTGATATGCTGAGAATTCTTGTTCGATACAGTTTATTGTATCGCCTAATCCAGTCTCTGCAAATAAATTAATTTCACAGGTATCAATTCATGTCTGTTGTTTTCAGTATAGTACACATATAAATTTATGCAGGTTAAACGCGAACACAACCGAAATTTTGACAAATTAAAATATGTTTACTAGTTGACAGATTTTCAACGAAAATCCGAAATCAGAAATACAGTTGTAGTCAAACATCTGTCCTCATGCACCTCGTCATTTCCAGTGGATGACGAAAATCTCCATTTTCTTTTTAATGTTAGCAAATAAAAGGCAGGACTGAAATAATAATAATAGTTGAGATAGTAACGCATGAATATAAGCCAGGTGGAGATTGTTAGACAGAATATTGACGATAAATAAGGTCCATATACAAAAAGCCTACATGGAATGGACAATTCATCAACTTTCAAAGCTTCGTACCGCTAAGCAGAAAGAGGAACCTGATACACGCTCTTTCCTCGAGGATTCGGAAGATATGCAGCGAGGAAGTGATCGAAGAAGAACTGCGTAATCTCCGAAAAACCCTGATGGAAAACGGTTTCCCGCCCAGGTTCATAGACAAGAATCTCAAACCGAAGAAGACTTCAGAACAAGTCCAATCTGTTCCAAAGAAAATACTTCTGCTCAATCTAGAATTCAAAGGTGATATCGAAGCAGAAATCCTTCGCAAACGCCTCTCCAAATCGCTGAGGAAAACATACTTCGCTGCAAGCCTACGACTGACGTTTTCCTGCAAGAAACTGTTCAGCCAGAACGCGAAAGACAAGCTGTCGCATTGGGCCACCTCAACGTGCATATACCAGTTTACTTGCTCTTGTGGAGCTGAGTACATCGGCCGTACCATGCGCCAACTTGGAAAATGCGCTCGTGAAGACTACCAAGCCTGGCTAGTAAAAGGAGACCAAAAACGTGTATACAGTTCAGTGACAGAACATCTGGTCAACTCAGGACATTCAGCGCCTTTCGAAAAATCCTTCAAAGTAATATACAAGATTCAATCAAACCTATCAAAGGGAGTGAAATCAAGACATCTGGGCATAGCTGAGGCGTTAGCTATCCAAAAACTCAAACCCACTCTTTGTATCCAAAAAAAATTTCGCTCAACCCCTGTCCCTGCCATGGCCATCATAAAGAGGTAAAATTTTTAGTAATGACAATCTCATCGCCTTTCTTATCTAAACTTCCTGTTTATTCATGTTATTTTAAGTTTTTCTTAATCCCTGTCTACACTACCATATTTTCACATCCACACTTCCTGTTTATTTTGTCATTTTACTATTTCTACATATTTAATCCCTGATTGCATAAACAATTATTCACCACACTAGTTTTTTTATCCAAACATCCTGTATATTTTGTTATTTTTACATTTCTAACCCCCAGTTGCACAATGTCAATCTTCTTAGTTATTATGCTACTTTGTTTGAGTTTTACCCATCCCCCTGTTTATTATGGCATTCTAATTACTAATTGTAATTTTTATTAATTTGACCCTTAACCAGAAATTGTTCTGGAACTTTCCCATCCATTTGATATAAATACACGAATGTACAGCCTAGATGATGACTTCGTCGAAAAGAAAATTTTCTTCGCTGCAACTGTCTTTTTATTCCCTACGATAAATAATTATGATGGCAGATAAGTATAGAAATGATTGAAAATGTTTAGCTTACCAGTTTCCAGACGACTTATGATCCCTATGAAAGATAAACAGTGGTTAGTAGTATATACAGCAGCTCTGATCAACTTTCAGTCAAGAAAATTGCGAACGTTCATCACGTAGCAGTCAAAAAGATGATAATTAAAGAAATGACCAGTGAGAAAGCATATCACCAACTGTGATTATATCACGAAATTGACTTCTCATTTATAAAATGGAATTAAAATTATATTTCGAATGGAAAGAATTTCGTAGAACGTACTGTGAAATACTGTCTCTCCCCATTTGTATTTGTATGCAGTTTCCAGGCAGTTTATATCTAAAATAGATTGTCCATCATTTCAAAAAAAATATGGTTCGCTTACGCTTTTCTATTTCTCCTTGTAAGCCTGCATAATGACTGAGAATCTTGTCTAGGAAAACAGAAAGACGAAAGGATTGAGTGCTTACAAGCTGTGGAGACGTGTATTTCAATTCTTTTAATATTCTCATTATTAATATTAGAACAAGAAATATAAGCGAATAATGTTTTTGTTTTCAATTAGATCTTCTTCAGGCTTTACTCTTATTTACATAGATTTATATATAACAATCTTAACCAGTGACGGTGAATTTGTGTAGTAATAATAATGTGATAGATATTTTGAACCTCTGTAATAACGATGATTATAGTGATAACAAAATAATGATAATATTAAGGATTTTGCAGGTGGAGATAAGAATAAAGAAGGTAGTGAGTGATATGTGTATATGTAATTAGGTCATATCTTAAAAGTTACACAATACTAGGGGTGAAGTGGACAGAAAATCGGACTTTAAATAAATATCATAAAATTACTAAGGAAATGGAAAAGAAGAAAATATGGGGTTTCTTCTAATAAGAATCTACCTAATCCAAGGGACAGACTAAAATAAAACAAACTTCTTTTGTATGCCAAGACTAGGATTGTTCTCTTGAATTCCCATAGCTTCGACTATGTGTAAAAGGCAGGTTCGAATTCTGTTCAAGAAGCTCGATGGAAAGCGATAGATAACTTTGAAGGCATTACTTCTGTCCACTTGGTGACCGCTATTATCAATCAAATGAGTCAAAATAGAATGTCTTATAGATTTTATTTGACCTTTTCCTAACCAAGAAGGAAGATGGTTATTAATACGTTTGTTAAGCTGTCTAGTTGTTCGTCCTATAAAGCCAGCTTTCTCCACAGGAGCCGCTAAATTCGTAGACACCCATTCAAGTGACTCATCTAGGTGGCTTGTCTTTTGCTTGAGCAATCATGATTGGTCGGTAGCTGGAAAATGACAAATAAAGGGTGGCGGCGTTAAAAGTCCGTTTTATTTCTCTCGATAATCTCAGATGTAAGACTTCACCAGCCACGTCCCATTTAAATTGCGATTTTATGAACAGTTGTTTGTTTTTAATTGTTGTCAATTTCTCTTTATCTTACCTGGTGTTCATGTGTCTCCTTACAAATCTACTAGGATAACCCATTTGGACAAGCGTATTTTGGATGTCTTCTAACACATTTTCTGGTTGATCATCTGTACAGATCCGTCTTGCTCTATTCTTGATGCATCTCACCAAATTGATTTTGTGTTGGATTGGTACAAAACTGAGAAAATATGCATGTTGTCCTAGAGATGTAGGTTTCCCGTAGACATCTCTCTTCTATTCATTTGGAAATCAAAGAAGCGTATTATTATTATAATGGTATCCTTTAATTCCTACAGGAACATAGGGCTTCAGCCGTGCGTCTCCATTGCGTTCTGTTCTCTGCTAGAGTCTTCACCTGGCTCCAAGTCTGTCCACACGTTTTCATCTCCTCTTCACATCACCTCCTCCAAGTCACCCCACCTTCGCACTGACGACCAACTCGCCGCTTCCCTTTCGGGTTCCACTCGAGCAATGGCTTGTCTAGTGATGTCACTTGATGGTTTCCTCAGAGTATGGCCAGCCAATCCATCTCCATTTCTTCCTGCCTATTTGTTTCACAATCGGTTCCTGGTTGGTCCACCATAATGTTCTTCTTCACAGTTGAAGATGAGCGATGGGTGTGCATCATTAAATTTTATCAACGTTTCATTCTGGTCAGCTTACACATCAAGAATAACAAACGCATCATCAATATAACAAAAATAAGAGTCCATTTTATCTATTACTTGTTTCAATGGACGATTTCCAAGGTTAGCAAGAAAGAAATCTACCAAAATTGGGCCCAATGAAGAACTCATGATAATACCGGCGATTTGTGTGTAGTAAAGGTCGTTGAATGTCAAGTGTGCATTCATAGTGTATCTTAGGAGCAGTTCTTTGAGACTAGTAATTGGAATTCTGATGTCGAACTGTTTTTCCAGTATCTCTTGGCATATGAATTTCACAGTCTCCATAAGCGGTATATTGGTGAACAGTGATGCGACATCTAAGGATAGAATTTGCTTCCCATTTACATCAATATCATGAACGTTAGAAATGAATTCAACAACGTCTTCAACACTATGATTTACTACATTCTTTGCCACTCCATGGCAGGTGGAATTAGACATGTCTAGGACTTCGGGAAGAGGAAGTCCTGGTTCATGTACTTTGGGGAGACCATGTAATCATGAAGTATTACTTCCAGTAGGTTTAAGACGGTTGTAGGCTGCCTTTGAGATTACTTTACTTTATCTCATTTCCTTCAGTGTGTTTGTCAGCTGCTTTTTAGCCTTTCCGTCTAGATCTGTTGGGGTATTAAGCTTTTGGAGTTTAGCTTCGTCCTGTAAAAACGAGTTCATTTTGTCTACGTAATCACACTTATTCATCAGTACTACTCCAGCTCCTTTATCAGGTCTACTGATTATAATGTCTTCGTTGTTCCTTAACTTTCTTACGGCTTCTCGATGCTGTTTAGTCAGCAAGTTTTTACTAGAATTGCTACTGTTTTTATACTGTTGACAACTGTCAACTGGTGTAGTTTTAAACCGAGCGCTTTCATCGTCTGACAATGAAATCAAGTGTTTTGTTTGTAGGAAGAGATTTTCAAACTGGATATTGGTATCGAGTCGGTTGACCTTATATCATTGGTCACAAAATCTAAGACCCAATGACAATTCTTCTAACTGTAATGTATCTAGTGTAACACTTGCAAAATTATGGACATACCGATAAGGGTATGAAGGGAAATCCTTTTCAGGATTTTGACTGTCTACTGTATGCCTGAAGAAGATCTAACTGAAAACAATATTTCAATTCTGTCACTATCTGCAGCATACTACGTAACACGAAGAATGTCTTGATATCATCAGAATAATAATAAAAATAATAATAATAATTTTTAAAGCATATTTCGAGACATATTTTCCTCGGCGTTAAAATATTGTCAAATATATAAGGCATCACGCTTTACTTACCCTTAAGTTTATGTAGTTCTTTTTCTGCACCTTTCATCGATAAAATGACCTTCGGTATTATATCTGTGGGGGAGACGAGGGTATATTTTGTATGAACTGTTATACAGTAAGTGAAATCATTGAATGCAAATAAATGACGCATATTGAAAATATTTTCATCAAAGCCGTCTGAAGGAATTTCAGTGAAGTCACTCAGCATACCCAAATAATATATCTACTTCGCTGTTTTTGCGCCAATCATTCTCCATACTGGTGCCAAGGAAAACCATGGCTACAACGATTATTGTGAGACTTTTGTCATTCTTAAACTATTGGAGTGATAAATTTTCAAGTTGATTAAAAAAACTCAAATAATATGAATGTCATTCATTCTTACATTCACTTTCGTGTAACTTCCTTCGAATTTCATTTACATTCATCGATTCACCTTGAAATGAAATGAAGAATTGTAAAAAGGGGACGACAATTATTATGCACAGAGAAGAAGTCCTAGAATACTGAAGATTAATAGAACAATTTATCTACTTGAAATGCATCAAACTTCTCCCTTACAGCGCCTTATCTATGTCAGTGCAGTGTATAAACACGTCATCTCAAAATGTGTATTCGAGAAATTTTAATCTTAGCAAATTTTAGACTGACACATTATGCAAATGAGAGAATATTTCACACTGTTCAACTGTAAATATACACAGTTATTGAGTCGGAATCAGGAGAACAGACGCCTTTGCTGTTGCACTGATAGACACAATCTATCAAGCAAGATGAATTCGATGTGAAAGCATCGGCGAAATTAACCATTCCAGAGTAAAAGCTCAACCAGAGAGAATGAACTAAGAGAGTGACTGGCGAAATATTCAACAGTTCTAGTGAATAAGGCAAACATATCGTATGGAAATAAGCCATAAATATACCATCTTTTGAAAAAAAAATGCTTACCTGCATTTACGGCTGCAAATGCCAACAGAGTGACGAAAGCTATGTGGTTGTAAGCAAAGTAGACCATCTTCTTATGTGAACTGGCTTTCCGTCCCCTTATTTATACCACAACAAACAGTCACAGTTATTGTTGTTATTGGTTGATTACAATAATCACGATTTCATCATTCATTTGTGGAAGACTGTGAGTGTTGTGATTGGTGAGTGAAGCAACGTCTCATGATGTCGGGTGACTCATATAATTAATCGGTGAAATCTGATAGGTGTGGTGAAATCTATCAACCCGCGAAGACTCATTAATCCAGATAGTGAGAATAATTTATGTGATGGCGTCCACATGACGAAAGCACACTAGGAATACATAGCGTAAGATCAGAACTGGAGAGTCATCCAGTGTAAATTATCCAGATCGCATAGATCTTGGACGTATCGCTGGTTTTAGAAGACTAAGATTAAAACTAAGCTCCCATTCCGGTATACATTAGTTTATAGTATTTTTATGCGGAATTTCATATTATTGAGAGATATGGGATGATATGGTTGACTCTGATTGATTTCCTTGTGATCAGTTTCTCTCTGATTTCACTGCTCCTGTCTGATTTGTTAGTTCTCTTGAGTCTCACTATGTAAATGCTGTCAACATCTTCAAACTATCTCCTACATCACGTACAATAATGAGGACATTTCTTCTTCTTCTTCTTCGTGTGTGATCTTGTGCTTCAACTGTGGCTGGCATCTGTTGTTATCTGGATTTGAACACAAAAACGCCATATGTGTAGTCTATGCGTCATTCATAAGTTCCTGGATTTCTTAGATATGACCTCTCATTACTGATAATGCCATCGTCTCTCATCATCCTAACCTCCAGTAGGATTTCAAAGGAACTCAGTAAATCTACATATACAGTATGAAGTTTTCAGTTGACTCCATATTTCAGAATGTGTGATCAAGTGGACAATTTGATTAGTGGCTGTTTAACTATGTACAATGGATGCTGTACACTTAGTTTATCCTGAGTTGTAGCATGCGTCATGTGGACGTCGAGGGTGACTATGAAGGTGGAAGGTTATCCGATTGAGTGACTTAAGGTGAAAACATGCTCACTGACTCGACTATTTTGCATAAAATTCATAGATAATAAAATTCACATTCGGCCGTATAATTGGTGTTCTCATTCGGTTCTGAGTATCTTTATTGTGAAGTGTTTTTGCACTAGTTCGATTTTTTTCATTTTGCTTACAATTCGAATATAAATGAGCAGTAGGCATGGAGTTTTATTATTATTATTGTATCCTTTAATTCCTACAGGAACATAGGGCTTCAGCCGTGCGTCTCCATTAAGTTCGGTTCTCTACTAGAGTATTCACCTGGCTCCATGTCTGCCCACACGTTTTCATCTCCTCTTCACATCACCTCCTCCAAGTCACCTTTGCACTGACGACCAACTCACCGCTTCCCTTTCGGGTTCCACTCGAGCGATGGCTTGTCTAGTGATGTCGCTTGATGGTTGGTTTCCTCAGAGTATGGCCAGCCAATCCATCTCCATTTCTTCCTGCCTATTTGTTTCACAATCGGTTCCTGCTGAGTTGGTTCGCTCATTGCCAGAGATCTCTGTTGCTGATCAACTCTGGCCGGCCATCTGATCTTGAGTGGTATTGAGCGAAGACAACTGTTAATGAAGGTCTGTAGTTTGTTTGAGATGCTCTTTATGACGCGTCAAGTCTCTGATGCGTATAGTAGCACTGACTTCACATTGGAGTTGAAAATCCGGATGTTATTTTTGATGCTGAGTGCTGTTGACCTCCACACAGACTTGAGAGTAGTGAAAGCTTGTCTTGCTTTTCCGATTCTTGCTTTGATATCCTTGTCAGTTCCGTCCGCCTGTAATTGAAACGATGCTTCCCAGGTCGGTTTGTGAAGGAGGTTGTTTCTTTCAGGTTCCTCCCATTTATGCTGATTGTTGTCTGTTGTTGTTGTTGCTGTTGGTGGTGTTGACCAGGAATTTTCATCACCTCTGTTTTATCTATGTTCACCTGAAGGAAGTCCTATCTTTGATGCTTCTTCTGCTAACTTGTTGCTTTTCACTTGCATATCTTCCAGTTTGTGGGAAATCAGACATATATCATCGGCGAAGTGTAGATCCCACAAGTTTTTTGTGTGTGTCCATTTTATGCCTTTTTCCTCATTGCCCGCTGCTTGTCGCATTATCCAGTCTACTGCAATCAAGAAAATCATTGGCGATAGTAGGCAGCCTTGTTTTACTCCTGTCCTCACTTCGAAGGTTCTGTAAGTTTCCCGTTGTGGATTACTTGGCATGCGGCCTTGTCGTACAGCTGTTGGATGAGATGTATAATTGTCGGTGGCACCCCGTAGTAGCGAAGTAGTTGCCAAATCACCTCTCGATCGTTACTGTCGAAGGCCTTTTCAAAGTCGATGAAGTTGAGATAGAGAGGTGACTGCCATTCCAGGCTTTGTTCAATGATGATCCGTAATGTGGCGATCTGGTCAATGCATGACTTGTTTCTCCTGAATCCAGCCTGTTCCGGTCGAAGTTTTTCATCCAGGTTGGCGTGTTTGATTCTCTCCAGGATGATGCGGCTTAGTATTTTGCTTGGGATGGACAGGAGCATAATTCCGCGCCAGTTCTTGCATTGACTTAGGTCTCCTTTCCTTGGTAGTTTGAATAAGTATCCTTTCTTCCAATCTTCAGGTATTTTGCCTTCTTTCCACACCTTCTCCAGTAGTGGCGTCATCAAGTCCGCTGTTGTCTCTGGGTCCGTTTTCAATGCTTCTGCTGGGATTCCATCTTATCCTGCTGCTTTTCCAGCTTTAAGCATGGAGTGGGTGAAGAGAAATATTGTAATCTTTAATTAGTTGTAGTGTAGTGCTTTCAACGGAAATGAACTATTCTTATTGAGTGCAACTATATGAGACACAGGTTCTGTTTCAGGCACTTTATCGAAGGATTTATCAACATCAAATTTCAGGAAAGTTTACAGTTCTCTCCTATTGCTTATTGAAGCGACTTCATTATAAATATCTCGAAGGCGATTGGCCATAATTTATCTACCACGCATCTGTCATCAACTTTCAATATCTTAATTATTTTAGCGTGATTTCGGATAATCGAGTCGATATTACCTAATTTGTGCTGGCGGTCTCAGGTTGCATCACCACCACTGGGATGTTCACTGGTAATCTGGTGGCCATCACAAATTGAAAGATGTTTAGATTGTTGTATGTCCTAAGTTTGCGATGCTTGAGCATCATTTGAAAATATTGTTTTATTTCAGTGGTACAGAAAATGCCACCATTTTGTTCTTTATAATCAATCATTTCATGTTTGGGAGTTTAATCCATTTCATAAAAGACAGTGGATTCTTCAAATTACAGCTTCAGTTGATCATTTCTTTGTCTCAGTATGATTAAGCCGTGTTTGAAGAGAGTCGTTGTCACCAAAGAGATTATATAGGCGGTATAATATTCCATGGCGATGCAGTGACCCCAAAGAGTGTTTCTTTGATGTAATTGTGTTCTTTCAGCAGGATGGTTCACTTGCGAATCTTTCATTCCCCTACACTAGGTAACATCTTGAGCCCTTACTGCAACTTGTTGAAGTGAACTTTACAATTTCTCCACGAGTTTATTAGTCACCTTTCCCAGTGACATTCAACGTGATGGATTGCTTTTCCCTGTTTTTACACCCTCAAATCTACTTGTGTTCGTATTCATTGTATCCTTGACTTGAATTTTCACTTTTTGTTCATGAGACATTCCTTTTATGGATTGGTAAATTTTATCATTGTCAATGTGCCTGTTAATTGCCGATTCACTGGAATACCAACCACAGAGAAATTCCCTGGCATTCTTGAAATTTACTCTGCCTCAGTCAAATCGGTGTCCGTGGTTGTTTGTATGCAGTATGATATGAGGTAGCGGGTATCATCGTGTCATTTGGAGGGTAGATAGTGTTCGTGTATGTGAAGACGAAAAGGGTGTCCACTTTGACCAAACTATTGTTTTACGCAATCGTTGCAACCTATTTTGTAGATGATTTTGATTTTATCTTCTTTTGCTGTTAAGACATTTGCAATGACATAAAGCCAGCCGAGTGGAGTGATCTCCTTGTTTTGTGTGTGACATCAATTGCTCAACTAGAGGGTGTGAATATGGAGAAGTGCAACAAATCATGTTGAAGGACATCAGGAGAAGTGACTGACAAACTTGCGGAGAATTCTCGAAGCTAACTTCAACAAATCGAAGTCTTGGCTGAAGATGTTGCTTAGTTGGACAATAAAAGCCTCGCAAGTAAACTATTCAGCTGAGATAACACAACCACATCAAAACCATCCACGTTAGCTACAAATCGTCTCCATTATACCATGAAGAATGTCTCAAGAGTTGCTTTCAAATTATAGTAGATGAAGAACTCTCTCTAGAAAGAATATTCACATCTATCCAAGCGCTCATTATGATGATTTGCCCTGTGAAATTGCTTTAGTTCACACTAGAGCTATTGGATTCGTTAGCATTACTTACAGATATGATCTAGATTAGCTATATTCGCTCGAATTCTACAAACGACAGTACTGATCGTTTGAGGTGAAGATCATTTTTATTCGAGGGCAATCTTATCCACATAAATTCCGTTAATGTATCAATATTTGGGTTGATGAAGGTGTGAAGCGTAATATACTAGTTTCAGCTCCTAGCAGGAGTCTATATGTATTATGCCGGAAATGTCCCCGCAGGTGTCAGAGATTCGAAGGACTTTGAGGCACATTGACGGAAGTAGAATCGTGAGAGTTTGATGCATTCAGGAAACGATGAATGTTCGATGCGTTTTCACCACTGTGAACAATTTTCCCTCTGACTTTGACAGTCCCCAGCCATTGGTTCTCAGAGTCCACACGATCTCAACCAAACAGCCTACACAATCTCACGTGGCTGAAACCAACAGAAGATATATAGATGACACCTTCATTGTATGTGACGAAAACTCCTCAACTGCCGGACTTCTTGGAATATTAAATGGCTCTCACCCATCTTTGCTTTTCACGGTCGAAG